ATATATATACTAAGAACATATACTAAAACTTTAAAATATGGAAATGTTGAAATAAAAGGATTGAAAAAATATATTCCCAAAAAATATTGAAAAAAAAGGCCAGGCAAATAAATCAAAATAAGCTGAGATGGCAACCTTAATGTCTGAAAAAATAGAAATTAATGCAAAAAATCATCAAGCACAAAGAGAAATGATATATGTCCATAAGAAGACAAATAGACAAGAAGATGTAGCCACTATGAACATACAGCCAACTAGTAATACAGCTGCGAAGTACATCAAGCCACAACGGACACAGGAATACAGGAATCAATAATTGTACTTGTAGATTTTATTATCACTATTTCTGAGAGTGATAGATTAAACAGAAAAAAAGGAAAGGATCGAATGCCATAAGTAATAAAATTGAGTTTGCTTAAGCCCAAGCTTATATTGAGAAATGTATAGAACTCTATATTGAACACAGCCCTTTCAAGCAGAGGAAGTATTTATGATCATAAAGTGGCTCTAGTAGAAGCATAGAATGCTCAAAAAATTCCAGAGGATCAATACCACACAGACTAGGCTGTTTGATCATAATGCAGTGAAACTACAAATGAAGGAAAAGAGCTTAAAAAGTCATGTGTTTGCAAACTGAATTACATATTTCCATATAAGTCTTGGGCTTAAAAGTGTCATCAAGAAATACAAGAAATGTTTCAATCTGAATAATAATGAAAATCCTTCATATAAAATTCTACAGAACATAGTTAAGGCTGTAGATAGAGCAAAACTTGAGGCTTTAAATACCCATTTATGAAGAAACAACAAAAGTTAAAAATAACAGGCTTAGCACTCAAGAAGTTGGGAAAAGAATCACTAGGAAAAATAAAACAAGTGAAATAAGGGGAGAAATCAATGAAACAGAGACACCAAAAAGGAGATTAATAAAGACAAAAGCTGATTCTTTACAAATATTAATAAGATAAATAGGCCAGGGATTTAGCTCAGTAGTTCCACTGCCTGCCTTGCAAGCACAAGGTCCAGAGTTTGATCCCCGGTACCAAAAAAATAAGATAAATAGATCTTTAGCAAGGCTGACCAAGAAAACAGAGAGAAGATACAAATAAATGAAATATGGAATGAAAAGAAGAGCAATAACTAATAGGCACAGTAAAGATTTTAAATAATTTTAAAATATTTTGATGAAATAGATGCTAATAAATTTGAGAACCTATATGAAATATAAAAATGCCTATGAAAATATAAAAAATCCCAAGTTGGTACAAGAAGACAGAGAAACTGAGAGGGAAGTCAAAAAACTTCCTTTTCCAAAAGTCCAGACTTAGATCTTTTTACATTTGAGTTTTCCAAAATGTCAAGGAAGAGAAATTCTCATCTTATATGTGTTGTCCCAGACAATTATAGGCAGAAAATATTTCTGCAAAACATTCTAAGCAAAAATACTTGTCAATCAAATCTAATAATGTTTTAGAAACTAATAATTATGAAATATACTTAAGAGCCTGGTGCGGTGGCACACGTTTTTAATCTCAGCACTTTTAAGAGACTAAGGCAGGAAGATCACAAGTCTCAGCCCAGACTGGGCAATTTAGCAAGACCCTGTCTCAAAATAAAAGACAGTTCAGTATGAAGACCGTGGATTCAATCCCTACTATGGAAAGAAAGAAAGAAAAGAAGAAAGAAAGAGAGAGAGAGAGAGAAAGAGAGAGAGAGAAAGAAAGAGAGAGAAAGAAAGAGAGAGAGAAAGAAGAGAGAGAGAAAGAAAGAAAGAAAGAAAGAAAGAAAGAAAGAAAGAAAGAAAGATGAGGAGTAAAATAGTAATTGTCTCAATTGATACAGAAAAAGCTTTTGATAAAGTTCAACAATGTGTTGTCAAACTCGGAGTGCTGGGGTTACACATGTACACTGCCATGCCTGGCTTGAAATCTCTTAGTAAACAAGCAAGACAAAGATAGTAAAATCCTATAGCAATTGTATGTGTTAATTAAACTTTAGATGTACTTTTCCTCTTCACTGTTGGGAAAGCGTAGCCGCCACTACCATTATTGTTAGGCATAGAATTAGACAGAGATTGGGCCCGGGATTTAGCTCAGTGGTTTCGCCGCCTGCTGTGCAAGGGCAAGGACCCAAGTTTGATCCCGGTACCAAAAAAAAAAAAAAAGAATTAGATAGAGATCATTGCCAAAGCTCCATGGAAAGATAAAGAAGCAAGGGGAAGGCTGAGGCAGGAGGATCTCAAGATCACAAGTTTGAGCCCCATCTGGGTAATTTAGTGACTTAGTGAGGCCCTATCTCAAAATAAAAAATTTGTAAAAAGGTTTGGAAATGTAGTTCAGTGCAAGAGCCCTGGGTTCAATTCCTAACACACATACACACACACACACACACACACACACACACACACACGCACGCAAGTGTGGAGGGAAGGGAAAGATGGGAGAGGTAGAAAGAGAACACCTTTTTTTTGGTAGACAACACGCTCATATAAATAAGAAAAACAGAATCAATAAACAAGCCATCAAAACCAATGAGTTCATTAAGATTGATGGAAAAAAGAGGAACTTACAAAACACTGAAATAATCTGTCCATGCCAGCAATAATCAATTAAAAAATAACAAAAATTAAAATACCATTCACAATACTATCAAAACCCATAAAATATCTAGGGACCACTGAAGAATATGTATGAATTCTATGTAGAAAACTATTAAAACTCCAGTAAATCCTGGTAGATCATTCGAATAGAAGATTTAATATTATAAAAAAATCTGACAGCATCCTAAATTAATTTTTCGATTCAATGCAATCTCTATCAAAATTCCAGGTGGTTTTTGGAAGAACTGGGTAAACTTTCCATAACATTTGTCTGGAAGAATAAAGGTCCACATATAGGTTAACTTCAAGAAAGAAGAATAAGAAGAGAGAACTTGCCATACTAGATACTAAGACACACAAAGAGCCGTGTATGGAGACAGACAGTGGGGGAGCTTCCAGGGCAGCGCATCAACGAGGGGTGGGTCAGAGGGCTCAGACGCAGAGCTGGACAGACAGTGGAGAGAAGGGATGGCTTGGTAAGCTGATGTTAGGACCAGCACCTCCCTCTACGGAGAAAGATAAGACTGGACCCCTGTCTAACGCCATATTTTTACAATGTAAAAAAAGATCTTAAAATATGATAGAATATATTTGGGCTTTTGATTAGTACATGTTTGCAGTACATAATGATTACATTCACTGTGGGGAATCGGTACCTGTATAAAAGAATCTCAACTGGTAACCTAATGAGGGGAACTTATTTTAACAAAATTTGAAAGCATCTAAGGGTTAAGGACTTTTGGTCAATAAAGGACCAACACAGACCCAGTTTATAGACAGAAAATAGAGTAGGGGAAGGTATTTTCAATATCTAAAATATTGATCAATATCTAATATACAAAGAAGACTTGCAAATCAATAAGAAAAACATAGCCTTTCCAGTTGGGAAAAGGACAGAGAGAAGAGTGACAGATAATTTACAAAAGAGGCAACTAAAAGGCTAAAGTGTTATCAAGAGATGGCCAATCCATTAGTAATCAGAGAAATGTAAATTAAAACAACGAGACATCACTGCTGGACAGGGGGAAGCAGCAGGCGGGGACGAGGGCGTGGGCACACGGACCTCCACACTCTGCTGGTGGAGGTGTCGGGGCAGCACTGGGACAAGTTAAGTGTGTGAGCTAATTGCCTGCAGGCGACGATCCCAGGTCCTGGTCCATCTCAGAGAAATGCATACATGGATGCAAAAGCGACACCCACAAGAATGATCCTTGTGTTTCTGGAGGTGACTTGGAGACCAGGTGGGCTCCTCCCTGGTGGAGTGGGCAGGTGAAATGTGTAGCAACCGCCTCATCCTGCCCAGACTCCCTCAGTTTTAGCTGGGAAAGTCTGCGTCCCGGGAGCCCTCAAAGTCCCAGGCAAACCCGGGTGGTTGGTCGTCCTTCTGTCCCATGGAGTACTGTGCAACACTGGAGCTTGGTATGCAGTGAGAAAAGGATGAAAGAAAATTACGTATTTCCTATATCATCACTGAAGTACACAAACATATGCTTACGAGACAATAGCACAAATCTTGTAAGAGTACAAAGGAAACCAAAGCATGTGCGTTATATACGTTAGAATGGTTATGCGGAGGGCAAGAGTGGGACTGAAAGAGAACCTACACATACCTAAAAATAAGAGCGGGCCCCCACGCAATGTACCACTAACTGAGGCAAATGATTTGGATGCTCACCCTCGCCTGGCTGCTCACATTGGTGCCTACCACCTCTGGGGGTCTTTCTTCAGAGGGAACGAACAGGCCGAGACCGGGCAGCAGGCTGGAGTTGGGCCTGGCTTGATGTTCTGTGCGCCATTTTTGCTCCCCAGGCCTCTCTAGGGCCTCTCTAGCAAACGAGAGACACCCGGAGCTCTGAGCCAGCCCGGCCCCTGGGACTCAGGGCTCGCGCACCCCCAGAGGGCAGGGAAGCGCGCTCGTTTCCCCAGGGGCAGTGCTGCAGGAGAGGCCTGAAAGTAGAGGGCATCCTACCTCATCAAAGTCGGCCACATCCTCGCAGTTCTCCAGGACCCGGGAGTAGAAGGGCTGCCCTGTGTGGGTGACAGAGGAGACCCCAGAGTCAGAGCACCACCTGGGAGTTGTTTAAGGAAACACTCAACACGGACACGTATGCCATGGCCATGCCATGCTCTCCAGGGCGAGACGCATCCCTGCGTACCCTCTCTGCTGACCTCTCAGTGCTCCCTGAGGTGGGCAGGTCAAACGCCATTAGCTCCACTTTACAAATGGATACTAAAGCCCAGGAAGGCTCCCTCCTATTTCTGGGCACCACTGCAGAGAAGACGCTCAGGTGGCTTCTCCCAAACTCCCTAGCTGGCCCCTCCGTTCCCTGATGGCACAAGGGAGCGTGGGATGGATGGGTGTGTCCCAGACCCCTGGCCCATCCCTGAGTCCATGTACCACCTGACCCACACCTTGGTGGGTGGAGGTGGAGCCATCTCTTTCCTGGTCTATCAGGTCAGAACTGGCCCAAGGTGTTGAGGACCTGACCAGAAGAGTGGGTGGACCTGGCCAACCCCTGGGGACTTGGGACAGAAGGATGGACAAAATGCACAGGATCTTACCCTCGGGGACCAAGAAGGGGAAGTCAGGAAACCAGCGCAGGTAAAGACAGGATAGGTTAAAAATTCTTTGAAATTTATTTATTACCCTCTGTCAATCCTTCACAAAAAGGTAAGGCAGCAGCTATGATAGAATCCTGTTTATTTTTTAGAAACCCAAAGCCCAATTACGTAAACGAGGATTGCCAATCACTCAAGGTGATCATCCTTGGGAGAAGTGAGTTGCTTCTGTAAGCGGCACACTTTAACTTTTTACTTATATTACACATGAATTTTTAAAAAATGATCGCACTTTACTTTTATAATCAGAAGAAAGATACTTTTAAATCCCCACCAACCTGACCCAGTGGTCCATTTCGTTGAAGGACCATTTCCAGGCTGAACCCGGTCCCGTGTGGGGTTAGTGTGGGTTATCACTGAGGAGCAGGGTTAGGGGGCTGGGTGGACTTGACTAGAAGACCTGGGACCCTGTCTTGACCAGCACTAGGCAGAGCAGGGCTGGAGAGGAGCCCTCCCTGCTATCCCTCTAAGATGCTCCTCTGGCCTCTGTATCCTGTCTGATAATGTGAGCTCTCCAGGGCCCGAGCGGCTTTTATGACGCAGTAACTGGTCCGACTTCAATACAGAGCTGGCCCCTAACCAGCAGGGCTTTGATGTTTGAATCCTACCAGTTAGCCTTGCATCTACTCAAATAGAAGAAGGGATGTGTGTGTGTGTGTGTGTGTGTGTGTGTGTGTGTGTGTGTACACGAGTGCATACCTGCCTAGGGACACAGGTGGGGGAGAATTGAATCTGAGATAATGAAGAAGAAGCTATAAAGCAGAAGCCATATACACAAGGTGGGAAAGAAAAATTTTTTAGCACTAGCCAGGGAGAAAACAAAACAAACAAAAAAATCAAAAAGAAAAATCTCAACAATTCACCAAGGCAGCTGGTGGAAGAGAAAGAACCATGAGAGACTATGCCTGGGCTTTAAGCTTCTGTTAATTTTTCCCATAGGAAGCACATCCAATACAAATTGAGAATCAGGTAAATGTGGTTGTGCATGGGTTTCCCAAAGGACTGGTCGCACTGAATAATCAAAAGATTTTTCATCCACAAGGTATTAATGAGGCTCGGATATGGCTGCGCCCAAGGGTCTCCCAGAGTGAAAAACTGGGGCACCCTGCAGCGAGGGGAGTAGAACCCAGCCCTCTAAGACAGTGCCAGGTTCAAATATGCAGAAAGCACTGGAGGCATATTTCTCCTAGCCCTGTTAGGGAGGAAGTAAGATGTGGAGAAATTAGCCTTACCACATCTGTTCCGAGTTACCAGTGGGGATTCCTACTGGCAATCTTGTTTCAAGTTTATTTCCACTTAATATCTTCCACCCCACTCAACACCAGCACAGGCTCTGCAAGGCTGCTGTGTCCTCCTGTGACACTGGGCAGAATGTGCCCGTCAAGGCTCTGTTTGGAAATCTGCTAAAAGCTCGCTGACTTGGGCCCTGCGGATGCAGACATGGTGAATGTTCTCAAACAGGATGAGCTTAAATTTGGCCCCAGTGTGTGTGCGTGTAACATGTGTGCATGTGTGGGGTGTGTGTGTGTGTATTTGCTGAAACCAATCATACAGAAGCAATGGAAAGGGCAACTTATTAAGAAAACAAACAATGCTTAAGTACCTTTGAAGAACCATTTTTTAGGAGCGTATGGACAAACAGTGGCAGCAGCATCCAAGACGCCTTTCCATCCCCCCTGGAGTGGAGCCAGGGGACCTCCACCGTTCATTCCGAGTTACCAGTAGGGATTACTAACTCCATCTTGTTTCAAGTTCATTTCCACTTAATATCTACCCCTCTCAACACCAGTCCTATTGACATTTCAGTTTCATTTAAATGGCTTTCAGACAAAACCATTAAAAATCCCAATTTCTAATCACCTTTCATGCCACAGGGAAGACTGAGAATAAAGCTTGAAAGAAAATAGCCTCTGCCTTGCAGGGAAAGATTTGTGGATCAGGCCAGGAGGTTAGATGGAAAATTTAATAGCATCCTTCCCTTTGAGGCGTCTGCTCCCTGGATAGCTGAGCTGTTTTGTTTGAAATAAACTCCTCCTTACACCAATAAATGGGGAGTGCATTATAGATCTGTGCTCCAAGTGTAGTAAATGCCGTGACATCAGAAATACCCATCCCCGGTTAACAGAAGTAACTTTTATGTCATTCGACATTTAAAACCATCCCCACTGCAGCTGGCCCCTTAGAAGCAGGTGAGCTCAGTCCTTGTTTACATGCAGGATGGCGAGCTAGCTCTTCATGTGACTTGATTTCAGAGTACAAAATATGCTACTGCACAAAACAGCTCCCTCTTCCAGTTTACCCTGCTAGAGCCAGACCTTTGAGAAAAGGCAGACTGCAAGGGACGCCGGCCCACCTGCGTTCCCTCATTTCCACAGGCAACAAGGGTCCACCCCCTGCCAGGCCTGTGTCAACCCTGATGATTGGTCCTTGGGGAGGGAGCTGCAGAAAGATCACCAGAGTCAGGGTGTTGCCTTCAAGAGCTTATTACCGTCCCGAAGGCGGCATGTTAGACAAGGAAAAGGAGTCTAAGTGAGGCAGGATTTGGTCTTCGGGATGTAAAAACATGAAGTGAGACAGGTGGGCAGGCATGGTGGAGAGGCAGGCATGGACCCTGGACACCAGAGGGGCTGGGGAGCAGAGGTGGGAACTCCAGGCAGAGAGGAGTACATGCAAATGTTCAAAAGCGCTGGGCACAGGGTTGAGCTCTGATGCAGGGGGCCCTGGGAAAGTAGACCTTGAGGGAGAAAGGGGAAATGAAAGAAGCCTGTTGCAGGGAGTGGCGCTGAGCAGTGGAGGTGGGCCATCCACAGGGGCAGGGCAGGAGAAGGTCTGAGGACAAATTCCACCGACCTCAGGGTTCTGCCATGACCCCAGGTGCGCTGACACTGTTGTTTCCTTGTCTTACTTAAAATCGGCAAAACCTCCTTGTGTGCGTGACCAGGGATGGGCGGTACAGCGCTCTGCAAGGCTGCCCTGGTCTCCTGTGACGCTGTGCGAGTCCTGGCCCCTGGTAACTCTCTGCTCCTCCCCTGCGGCTCCCGGGGAGGGGATGCGCCCGCTTTCCGTGCTTCCTCTTCAGATCAGCCTACTCCTGTTGAGGGCCAGATCTCCACCCCAGAGCAGCAGGGAGCAGCGTGCAGGCATCCCTGCCGGCAGGAAAAGAGCGCGGCTTCTGGGAATAACCATCCCGGAGCGGCATATGCCCCGGGGACCCTTGTGCCTATCAGCAAGTGGCTGTCTTGCATCATGTCCCTTAGGACCACAGGGGCGCAGTACAGAGGTTGTGACTCCTGGGCCTGCGTGCCCGAGCTCACATGCTACCGGCGGGCTGTGCGTCCTTGGAGATGTTATTCAACCTCTCTTTGCCCTCCTCTCCCATCCAGAGAGGGGAGGAAGTGATAGTGTTTAGAGCCGTACCTGTGCCTAGGAAACAGCTATTATCATTCTGCTCCAGTCCTGTCTTTCCTTTAGGGTTAGGCTCTTAAGTTACCAGCTTAATATAAAAATGGTGTGATTCTCTCTCTCTCTCTCTCTTTTTTTAACAAGGTAAAATTCACATTCGCAGGTCTAACGGGTATACTTTAATGAGTTTCAATAAATGCATGTACTTGGGTAATCAACACGCAGTCACGATACAGAACATTTCCGTTCCTCAAGATGCGCCTTGGGCCCCTTTCCAGTTGGTGCCTGTCTGCCATCAGCAGCAGGTGACCTCTGCTCCGATGCTATCACCAGACATGAATACTGCTTGTCTTAAACATCACAGAAATGGTCTTCCACAGACAAAATAATCTTTTTGTGGTCATCCGTATTGCATATATTGATACAACAGTCTCCCGCTATCTGAGGGGAGTCCTGGAACCAATTCCCCATGAATACTCAAGTTTGTGGATGTCCCTGATAGGAAACTTTGTAGGTTTTGCATTTAACCTATGCACACACTCCTGGCACCTTAAATCATCTCTAGGTTGGTTTCTAATACCTGATACAATGTAAGTGCTATGCATATAATTGTTGCACTGTATTGTTTAGGGAATAATGACAAGAAAAGTCTAACCATACTTAGTACAGTACTGATATAATTTTTCCCCAACTATTTTCAGTCCCCAGTGGAATCCGTGCTGTGATCTCAAAACGATGGATATGAGGTCCAACTGTAATCCACTCATTTTTATTGTTGAGTAATATTCCATTGTACAGATGGCTATACCACAACTTGTCTCTCTTCTGGTGTTGTTCTGAGAAAGGTGCTGTGAATATTCTTGTAAAACTCTTGGCGGACATGTAATTTCATTTCTCTTGGAAGAAAATACCTAAGAGCAGAATTGCTGGACCATAGGTTAGGTATCTACTTAACTTCATAAAAAGTTGTTAAACAGTAGACCAGCATGATCGCATCATTTCACAAG